CCTTGAGGTACTCCAGAAGTCATAACAATATAGTCAGACGAGAGGCCACCAATCATGACTGCTTGAGTAATAAATTGTGATCAACCTTATCAAAAGCTTTGCTGAAGTCGGTGTAAATAGCATCCACCTGGACGTTCTTATCAAGAGTTGAAAAAAAAATCAGTATACTCTAACAGATTGCTCTCAACAGAATCTCCAGAGTAGAAACGGTATTTTGAAAAAAGAGTCTATTATAAATGAGGTTTTCATTATTGGTAGAATAGATATAGAGCGATAGTTGTTTACAAGGCATCACCAGAGTTAAAAATAGGAGTAATTTTAGACTGTTTCCATACCGAAGGAAAGACGCCGTAGCGCAGTGACATATTAATTATTAACCATAGATATTTCAAACATAATTTTGGTACACAGCATTTCTGTAACTGTTGATCATTTGTCAACAAATGAATTGAGAGCCAGACGTGGTCGATAATTGCAGAGCGGTGCCGTTTTTGCTCGGGAAAGCCTGAGAAATCAGATTGATGTAATTGGGCGCAATTACCAACGGAATTAATGGAACGAAGGCACGCAACTTGGTCAACACGCCCTTGTGTCTCTTCACAATTAATTTAAAATAACTGTGGAATGTAAGATTCATCTCACCATACATTTCTTTCGAGTAACCATAAATAATTTCAAAGTTTAATAAATGTTTTGAATTTCGATAAAGTATTATTAGAATTTATTTTTCTTAACAACATTTCATTTTTACAAGAATCAAAACCAGCATTAAATCACATTTTTCGAGTACATTGTGGAACGTTGTTTATTTTAACTTTTTGGTTAAAAATAATTATAAATAACAACTTCCGCTTCGTCCGTGATACGTGGTCTATTAGCAAAGTACAACTTCGCGATCCTAAACAGGCTGCCTAAGTAGTCTTTTGCAAGCAACTTAATCATCACTTAGAGATTTTAAACATAGCATCCAAGATGGACCAAGATTCACCAGAAAAAAAGCTTTCAGTTTTACTTACCTCAACGATAGTATCATCTTGAAAATGAAGCAAAGGTCGTCTTTAGCCCAGAGGAAGGAACATATTTTACGACAACATCGTACTTATAGAAATGCCATATTAGAATTAGATACATTTTTTATTGCCAAAAATAAATTGTATACATTTCTGTTGGTTTATTTATTAATGTACTTGTTTGCAACGTCTTGTGAATCACCCTCGGTTGAAACCTCGAAAATGTTTACACCAAATACAGAAATTGCGCATCGACTCGCACCGTTAACCTCTTCGCCATTGCCGTCGGCCAAACATTAAGCAGGAGGCCCGGGCGTAGCTATTTACTTTCGAAATTAGACGCTGCATAACAAACAATTCCCTCTAGCGGCGATATTGATTATTTTCCCAAGTAAACACACAAACTAAACTGCAAATAGCCGCGTTACGCGATTCCGCGTAGATCGAACCAAAATTGCCTTACGTGACTCAGTCAAAATCGTCATTTCCCAAGAAATTCGATAAGATTAAATGTGTAGATAAAGATCGCCACGTGCTCGAGATTAGAAGAAAGTTACTTCATCTTGACGAACACGAAATGTGAGTTTTATAAAAAAATTTATGCCTCTTTAAAAAAAATGGGGGGAAACGTTACTCTTGATAAAAAACTTCTCGGATTCTTGACCCTCTCAGGATCTGGTTTAACACCATCTATCTCAACTGTCGAGATAAAACGACCTCGGTTTAATGCAGAGTGTTTCTTCGTTTACGTTTTTTTTCTGTTTCGTCTCTTTAAAACTAAACGGAATTGAAGGGAAAGCCATCCTAATTTAGAGTTAAATGGTAGAGCTTATCGAAACTAAAACCTAAAACCAGACGACGAAACGAAATTAATTAATCAAATTAAACGCCCCTGGAATGCAAATTGATTTTTTTTTTTGCGAACGTCGCGCTTGCCATCGTTTTTTTTTTTGTTTACTGTGTCGGAGGACAAAAAATGATAATGTAATCGATTTCCTAACGTGACGTGCAATTCTGCACAACAACTGGTCTACTTCGTGCAGGTATGTTACGTTGATTGTGCTAATTTTGTTGATTTTACTTTCACGTAGGTGATTATGAAATATTTCGATTCATAGATTAGGTTATGAAAACATATTAAGAATTAAAAGGTGCTTTTGAAAAAGCTACGAATTTTGCAATAAAATAATCACTAATTATAAATAAAAGAGCGCTCTTTAAAACGCAATTGATTATTACGATTGATCTGTTATATCTATTCCCATTTTTTGAAAAAAAAAAATCGTTGTTTTGTTTTATTGAATTTGTTTCGTTGTTGTAAATAAATTAAAAAAAAATCTATCTGGCTTAAAAGTAGGAATGTTTCAACAAAAAATCACCAGTAATAAATAAAAGAGCGCTCTTTAATATGATATCGATGAATTTGTTCTATCTCGTCCCAATTTTTAGAAAAAAAGCAGGAAATTCACATTTTATTGAATGCCAGGATGAATGTTTTTACATATTCAAAATACAGGTGACCGGTACATAAACGTATTTATTGAAATGCATTATTATAGAGCTCATTTGCAATTGATTAAGCTAAATATGCCTTATACAAAGTTCAATAGTTTAGGAATTGTTTCAATTTTTTGGTTTTTGTGCATTTTCAGTATAGACTCCTACAAATATTGGAATTTAATGATAGTTTCTTTGGCAACATATTGACTTCTCTGGATAGACTTCACTCTACTACACATTTTAAGTTTTGGATGCATTCGAAGAAGCCAGTAAAGAAACGTAGCCACTAATCTGCGGATATCACTAAGGTATGGTCAGCTTTTCGACAAGTGGGCAACCATACCACTATACTCCTGTCCAAGCATTTGAAGAAGGCCATCTGGAAATAAGGATTCAATTTTGCCGTTTCCTTTTAAATAATGACATTGAAGATGGATATTACTTGATAAGAATTTTGTGGGCCGATGAATCCACGTTTAATAGAAAAGGTGTAACAAATCTTCATAATTTACATTATTGGACTGACGAAAATGTAGCACAAACGTGTGGATGGAGCCCATTGGAAATAATTTAATTAAATAAGGTCCTTATTTTTTACCGGATTGTTTAACTAGCGCAGCATACAATGATTTTTTACATAACAATGTAATAGACCTGCTTGACCATGTACCTTTAGAAAACAGATGTAATATGGTTTTCTAGCATGATGGATGCCCTGCACACTATTCCCAAAATGTTCGAAATTCATTGAATGAAATATTTCCTAATCGTTGGATTGGGAGAGGAGGATCAATTCCATGGCCTGCAAAGAGTCCTGATTTGTCGCCCCTTGATTTTTATGTGTGGGGCTACATGAACGAAAGAGTGTATGCTACACAAGTCAAGGATGAATTAATAGAAAAAATCCAAAACGAAGCATATGTTTTAAAAACGTTAATTACAAATAAGATCGGAAATCAGGAAAACAGCAGAAGTTTTTGAAGCGGACTTGTAGTTATGAGTTCTTTTTAGACAGAATTAGACAATGCCTTCCTTACCTTTGGTTACTTGTTTTTGTTGATGTTAATGTGATACATAAAATTGTTTAATTTTTATAGTTTTTTTCAATGAAGGTTATTATTAACCTTTTAGCTAACTTTCGCCAGCTATAAAAATTGTATTCACTCCAATTGTTATCCTATAAATTATTTGTTTAGTCAATGATTGATAGCTATTAATGAATTGAATGTCAAGCTCAGGATTTATTGTAATCAGGAATTAACGTTTTTAGTTTCTATTCGCTAAAATTTGCAATTTTCATCGATAACTTTCAAAATTCGCTATAAAATTCATTTCTTGAAGGATCCTTGTGGAAATATCGCCAATTATTAATTGAAGTATCCTTTTTTTAGAGTTGCTTCGTTAGTTAAATCAGCATCAAAATAGTTCACTTTGTATCTTGGATCCAAATAAGTTGACATATCTATCAACTTTCTTATTAATTTCATTTTTATTCAAATATCGCAGTAATGTGGCAATATCAGAAATGCACCAGAAATTATAACCATAATGGCTTTTCGCAAAATCACTATCCGTTCCATCACTACTGAAAATGTACAAAAACTAAAAAATTTTAATAATTCTTAAACTATTCAACTTTGTATATGGTATATTTGGCTTAATCAATTTGCCAGTCACCCTGTATAAAAATATACAACACTGATATACATCATATGATAATCAGTTTCTAATATTCATGAAAATTGTGATTAAAAGTTAAACTCGTTAACCTTTTGGATGTCCATTTTCGCGAGAACTTTGTTAAGTTTTGTTCGAAGTACGAATGCGGTTGAAAAGCATCTACACTCGCGCAGCATCTAAATTATGAGGTAGCGTTTCAACCAAATTCAAAAGCGGATATGAAACCGGAAAACGGCTTCGGTTTGTTACAGATGTTTTTTTTTAATTGTGTTAAAACGGTAATTGTACATAGAAACAAAAATAACTTGGTTATATGGAAAACAGTTCCATGTCACAAATTAATCTTAATGCCATTTTAGGTTGTGTAACTTTTGTCTAGAAAATGTTAAAAAAAAATGAGTTATTTTAAAAACTAAGACATTGGAATTTTCATTAATTAATTACAAAATAAGCTATGCATGGAGCAATTTAATTTTTTTTTACTCAATCTTTAAATAACCTCTTGTATAAAATCGTTCTTGTGATCGTAGAGACTCATCGTGAAGAGGTTTAAACAGATACCTGGCATTCGAGCTAAAATTACAAGAACCATCCGAGCGAGGCGCATACCTATAACCTATACCTCAGGCAGCAACAGCTTCCACGGAGCACAACAGCTCGGTCGCGCTGTTCTCTGCGGACACACAGCTGTTCATTGTTGACAGGAGGGTAAAGGGAGCGCAGGACGGCTGCGGAGGGGCTTCGCGAGACAGAGTTGAGGCCCACTCATCCTCTCTGTCCTGCACACCTAGAGCGAGATTCCAGTCAGTAACGCAGCGGCCGTCGCCGGTTCGGTATCGCAACGCGACTTTTAATGATTCTCAAACACGACGTTGCCGGTGCGTGTTGGATTCTTCACGTCCTCCAGGTTAGAGTTCGTTATTGTTAGACTAAAAAAAGGAGTACCAAAAAGTTTTCGGAACATTTTTCAAAATTATTAAAAAAGTTTTTGTGCCATGTTTTCAAAATATCTATGATAAATGAGATTTAGTGCTAAAAAAGTTAAAGTGGGTTAAGTTTTTTTTGCAAAATTTTTGGGATAACTCGATGGGAATACGATTTCGTCTCTCTTAGTAAGTTCTTCTGAATCATTCCAGGGATTCTCCCCGTAAACAAAACGAAAGGCGAGTTGCAACGCCGCAACCTCAAACCTCTCGACTTCGGTTGCGTTGTTGCCTGTTTTCTTCTGTCGACCTGAACGGTCGGAGTCAGTAACCTGTACACCATAGGTACTACAAGAAGCGGTCTCTAAAATAATACAGTTTGGAAAGTTCACGGATACCTTCCTCTCTCCGCAAACCATTTCGTCCATTTCTCTTTTTCTTTTGCTCTCTTCTCCCATCACGTCTATCTTCGTCTACTTATCCTTCTTTTCAATTCGTTTCAATTCGTTCCCGCTGCCTATACATAATCGAAAACTTTTCGAACTGAAACTTTGAAATTAACCCGAAACGTTGAATGGTATCTCATTCAACGTTGTTTATAAAGATCAAGATAAGATAGGAAACCGTTTATATTCTCTGGCCTATATTCATATGGGGGGTCAAAGTACCTTCAGGCCGTTTTAACGCGTCCGTTTTGTGTTTGAAAATTTATGGGAGATAGTTATGGAAGGGCTTGTCGCGTAAATACGCTATTTATGACGTTTATAGGCTGTTATACCAACAATAAATAATATAATAACGTTCCATTTGCCAGCGTTGTCAATCAAAACTGTTCAGAATTTAAAAACTTTACATAAATATATATTTTAAGATTTTAGATGTAATAAAAATAAGATGAAGGAGGTATACTTCAAGAAAAAGGACGAATCTTTTTTTCTTGAACCGTTACTCATCGATACCCCGTTGAGAACATTTTTCTTTGTTATACTTTTATCTCACTTTGTTTGGACTACCTACCTGAAATTTTTTTACCTTTCTACTTAGACACGTTTGTACCTGTTTAAGAATCTAATTCTACAAGGAATTAAATTTAAAAAGAAAAAATTTTAAGAATTTAATTTTACCCTGTTTGTTTAAATGTTATGTGAAAATTAAAACAATTGTATCTCAAAAACTAATTGAAATATCTTGATGAGATAAAAAGCATTTTAAAGCATATTTAATCTAGTTTTAGTGTGCATTAAATTATTTCTTAAATTTCATAAACCAGGTTGTTATGATTTTTTAAATCGAACCCCGTTTGTTTAAATGTTATGGTATAATATTAAAGAAGAAAAAAAATAAAAATATCGTATCTCAAAAACTAATTGAAATATCTTGATGAGATAAAAAGCATTTCAAAGCATATTTAATCTAGTTTTAGTGTGCATTAAATTATTTCTTAAATTTCATAAACCTGGTTGTTATGATTTTTTAAATCGAACCCCGTTTGTTTAAATGTTATGGTATAATATTAAAGAAGAAAAAAAATAAAAAAATCGTATCTCAAAAACTAATTGAAATATCTTGATGAGATAAAAAGCATTTTAAAGCATGTTTAATCTAGTTTTAGTGTGCATTAAATTATTTCTTAGATTGCATAAAGCTGGATGTTATGATTCTTTAAATCGAACCCTGTTTGTTTGAATGTTATGGTCTAATATTAAATAAGACGAAAATTAAAACAATTGTATCTCAAAAACTAATTGAAATATCTTGATGAGATAAAAAGCATTTTAAAGCATGTTTAATCTAGTTTTAGTGTGCATTAAATTATTTCTTCGATTTCATAAACCTGGTTGTTATAATTTTTTAAATCGAACCCTGTTTGTTTGAATGTTATGATCTAATATTAGATAAGATAAAATTAAAACAATTGTATCTCAAAAACGATTTGAAATATTGCAATGAAATAAGAAGCATTTTAAAGCACATTTAATCTAGTTTTAGTTTCCATAAACTTGATTGTTATAATTTTTCTGTTAAATCTGTTGAAATATCGAATTGTAATCAAGTCTTTTATTCGGTATTGTGAAGTATTCCTTTTACAATGATACTTCTGCAGATCATTAAATCTTTAATCAGCCAATAAGCAATAAGGTTATTTCTATAAATAGCCTCATTAAAATTCAGACATCTCCGGTTTCACTTTATTGTTTACATTTACTGAAGCAAACCCAAAGTTTAAATAGTTATTTTCAAGTTTAATTTTCGTGTCTAATACACGAAAATTAAAAAAATCTTTTAAAAACAACTTGCAAATTACGTTATAATCGTAATCTATTAATATACTAAAACTCTTTGTTAAAAGAACATCGATTAACAATGTAATACACAATCATGTTCGACGTGCTCAATATTTTATAACCTCGTCACGTATAAAATGATTGTGTGGAGGACTACTGCAAAAGAAAATATCCCTCTTTAAATTCAATCCATGCTCGTGGGATACCCATGTTCATTTTTTCTTATAAAAAAATCACTTTATTATGCATCTTTACAGGTATAAGTTATTTCAAAAGTTTTCTTGTAAACCAAACAATCCGACATTTTCTTATCGCAAGATAAAACCTGGAGCCGTTTTTTTCTGTTTATTCATTGATATCATGGGCGCGTAGAGTAAGTAAATAATTCAGGTAGGAAGTGATAAATTTACGAGAAATTCGTCATTATGAAGTCATATTTGAAAATATACCTTAAAATTAATAACGAGCTATGTAATGAGTTTTTGCGCAAGCGCTATTTTCTTATAAGCAATTAGTATTAATTAAAGTCAATTTACAGGCGCAGATAATTAACCGACCAAAAACCACAAAGCAAAAAGACGGTGGGCGCAGTTGGTTAAGCTACAATTTAACGCTTACCATATAAGAAATAAATTTGCGCAATTCATTTCGATGGCTAAATCAAAATACATTCCAAACAACTAATCAAATAATAAATGATAAATTCTAAGAAAAGCAAACAATGTTTTCGTTACGTGTCGTTTCATACAAACGTATTATCACGTTTCAGCAATAATTTCGATAATGACACAGTCTAGGCGCCAAGTTGTCGTCTGTATTATACTTTATTTTCTATTGTAAGCAACATTCCTCTACTCTCAACCTCTCAAGTTTAGAAAAGGTGTCACGTTACGCACATAATGAATAAAGCCGGATAAAGGTTTGTTTATACTCGGAGTCGGTCACAAGTTAACGTATATCTTTACGGGTGCAAACAAGCATTTCTAAGTTCAATTATTCAAGACCACAACCTCAACACGCGTTAAATAATGCGAGCTTTGCTGTGGAATTGAGAGAGAGACGAGAACATAGTTGTCCTGGCAGTTATCCTGGCAATAGCGGGATTTGCCAGGACCTCATTTAATTATTCACGCTAGGGCGAGTCGCGAAGACCAACTTTACAAATAGGAATGTCATGGTTTTTGTGTATTCTGTACAAAGTTATGCAAAAATTCTCATCTCAATGAGGTTCTCATTAGAAAGCTTATTCTAAAATTTTATATGCTAATATTAAATAAGGTGGAAATTTTAAAAAATCGTATCTCAAAAACGAATGGAAATATCTTGATGAGAGAAAAAGTATTTTAAAGCATATTTAATCTAGTTTTAGTGCCCACTAAATTATTTCTTAGTTTCCATAAACCTCGTTGTTACAATTTTTTAAGTCGAACCCTGATTGTTTGAATGTTGTGGTCTAATTATTATTGATATAATTTCTGTTATTTCTTATGAAATAAAATAGAAATTGGAGAATAAAATTGTTTCTCGTCTCAAGATGCTTAAAGTGTTCTTTAAGTTGTTTATCAATTGAATTGTAAACATTGTATACAAAAAGCCGGCTCGATTCAAACATAACGGTTCTCCAAACAATTTATTCAATCCCGTCTGCCGCTAACGACGCAATTCCTACCAAAAGCCAGCTTGTTACAGTTCGATAACTTGCCACTTAATTGGTGGATGACACGCAAAAATATGTCCACTTGCATAACATGAAGGGATTTTGTGATATAAACATCGAGTGGATGTAAAGGTCACGGGGGCGTCTCGTTTTTCTTATTGTCGTCGAAGTCTTGAACGGGTCTCCCAATATGGAAACTTGTTGCCCGTCATTTCCTCGAGACTTTCAATTTCTCGTCCGCGTACCCAATTAACATTTTTATTGCGTCGGAATCGTCGTTTGCGGCCGCAACTATTAATAGAGATTGTTTTCTTATAGAAACCGAGATGGATACTTTTCGATGAAATTTTTCAAATTAATCCCAAACAAATACAAATACATGTACTATTAAATTAAACCGAACCACATTACCCCAGTACGAATAATCGAGTTCCATTTCGGCGGGCAAACATTCATGCCAACGTTGTTCGTCCGTGATAACATTATGATATGTATCGTAACGTATAGCACGGGTTTCATATTATAATTAACTTTGGAATTGAAACATGCACGTTGATTGCGCTACCAAAACTGGAACCATTTCGTCACGGTAATGTTCAATAATGTTCGTTGAGTAGCACCGATTGTTTCAAATCGCCGCCTGACAATCCCACGAGTTCGTTCATGTCGATGTGAAGTGGAGTTAATTCTCGATCACTAAAAGCGAAAACTGTTTGAGAACGTCATTAGCTTTACACGCGTTCAAGGTTGGTTCATGGTTAAAATTTTATAGAAATCGTCCATACTTGTTACTGGCAGCTTTATGAATTAAATATGAGGTTGTGTAATCACTTATGGGTCGTCTAAAAATAGTTCTCTATGATAATGTGTATATAAAATAGTACCTATGTAAGGTAAATATTCGGGTTAAAACAAAGTTTTTGTTAAAATTAATGGGAGTTTATTAACAGGATTAAAAAGTTATGTACCGCATTAAACTTAAAAGGTCGAAATCACAAACATTTTACTGAAAATGCCTGTGTATGTGATTTCATCATTTTTATCGATATCTTTTTTTTTTAATCGAGTTCATATTTTCACATTCAAGTGCAAAAAAGTGATCCACATTACTACGGATGTTTTGTCCATGGTAGAATGGCAAACAAACAGAACAACAATACAACAGCTCCAGCAGTTTTTTATTAGTTTCATGCGTGCGTATCGGATAACCTCGCTATTCGGTTCCACATCACTGTCGACCGCACACCCAAATCCTATTCAAAACGCCGTATAACACACATCGATCGGAATTTTCGACCGGAGGCAGTTAATTTACTACTAAGAATCGAGAACGTGTCCCCTATGTGACGAAAGTTGGCCGATACTAATTTAGCTGAAGCCAATTAGGGCCAACGCGCTTCGACTAATGCGATAATAAAATATGCTCATTAATCCGAACGGTGCCAAGGCGGAGAAAGATAATTCAGAAGATGCTTTTTAGAAAGGACCGTTTTTATTTTATACAACTTGCGTTCGCGTTCACATATTCCAATAATTTACAGTGTGATTTTTTCGTAATTACGTTGCCTTCCAAGGACTACCGCTCGCCACTGCAACTTCACAAAGCCAGTTATAATTTATGTCCCCCTCGTTGTAAGCTACTTAATTTAAGTACCTCACGGCAAAAGACGACGTCGAAGTTTATTTTACTCCCCGAAAATAACGCAGTTTATATAAACTACGTTTCGAAAGTAGTTCTCGTTTAAGTAAATATTTTACGTTTAAATTGGGGAAGAAGTTGTAAGATGTAGTTCAAAAGAAGTTTCTCAAATAAAGTTATTTCGTTTCATTTAGGTTAAATTTTTATAATTAAGTCTGGTTATTACGAAACTTAAAAACAAATTACATGCATCAAAAGGACACAGGATATATCCAAAGAATTTATTTATTTAGTAATGAAAAGTTATTGCATTCTACAAGCTGTATTGACGGGATAAATTACGGTTACATCGATCAAATTTTATCTCTAAAGATCTTGATTGTAGCGCCTCGCCCGCAAACGACCTCGACTATAACCTGAACTCGAAGCTTTGCTGTATGCAATAGGTGTTTGTATGATAAGCTTGTGATGCATTATCTCCCGATTGTACTAATAAAGCCGAGGTTGAATAAGCGTTTATATTCATGATTAAAATTTCTCGGATGTAGTACTTTACCCGAAAGCTGTTTATGTATTAATTATAAAAATTACAAATGTTCCAAACTAGCAGCAGAACAGTTATGCAAAATGTTTAACTACAAAAAAAATTTTGTGCAACCGAACGAGAAATGAGTCCATGAAAGTTTTGCAAACATTTTTAAATACACAACACTCCAGCAAAAAATACTGTCAGAACAAAATTTTATAAATGAAAACCGTTTGTTATTGTTTTTGTTATAAAATTTGTTTAGTGAAATTTTTATAATGTAAAATGGGAATTTTGGTAAATGGTAAATGGAAATAGAAAGGGAAATGGTATGGTTTTTATTATATACCTTGATTCTGCATACAAATATATGTTGACTTTGATACCTGAGGCATCGTTCACCATTAAAAACTTTTCTACTTGTCTTTCAATTTTCAAAGTTATGCCATAATGTTTTAAATGTCGCAAATAAAAATCAAATTGTGTTAGATAACATGATGGTGGTGATAAATTCATCTATAACAGCCGTGATAAGTTATCATTCGATATCTTATGCCAAAACTCCAAGTTTTCATGGTATGAAGCGACACCACGAAATGTGTAAAATTTAAAATAGGAATTAGTTATTTTAATTAAATTAAATTTCTACTAAGACTATCGGATCCAAAACGATTTTTTCTTTAATTAAATCTGTTTAGAGGGTTATTCAGAACAGTTTTAACCGAAAAATCGATTTGTTTCTGTTGCGTCGAAGGACGTGTACCACCTGCGCGCCCTACCCCCAGGGTTTGAACGCGAAATACTCCCCGTAATTTCAACGTCCCCCATGTGCGGAGGACGTAATTGGAACTCCGATGACAAATGAAGGTTTGAACAGTTGAATAACACATTTAATTCAGTCGATGATATCATAGCTTTTGTTCCAGCTCGTACTTGATAATTATACAGCTTTGATAACTAGTTTCCATTAAATACATTGTAATTAAATAAAAATGTAAACAACATCGAGATCTCGATTTTAAAAGCATAAATAATGGTATTCTCGAATATTCGCTTTTATATTCGTTTTTAAGCTCCGCGGAGTCCGATGACACCTTCTCCTACATGAATAATGCAGGCCATAGAGTAACAGGTTTTCTCCGAAACAATCCTAAGAGACCATCCGTCGCTACTTTACATGTTTTCCATTTCTCGAGTTCCAATTCCTCCTTTCCTATTTTACTTCATAGAAATTAAATTTATTTTTTTGTTATAGGAACCTTCGTCATGAGCTGAAAGATGTCCAACACTTTCCCCATCTGTTGCTTCATCTTGGTAACGTTGATCAGATCCACGCTTGAGGATTTAACGCCTCCAGACAATGACTTCCGGTTCACTAGCCCACTCTACAATGTCAGCATTCCGGAAAACAGTGTCCCCAAGACCTACGCTTCGCCGGCTCCTGGTGAAGCCAGGATCGGCATCAAAATGCCGAAGGACGTATACAGAAACGTGCGGTATAAGATAGTGGGTGGTGATTCAGATAAATTTTTTAAAGCAGACCATAAAATAGTTGGTGACTTTTCTTTCTTGTATATTCGGACTCGAAGTGGTAACAGCCACGTATTGAATCGCGAACGTAAAGATAAATACATCCTGGAGGTGCGTGCGACAGCTGTTAAAGGACACAATACTTACGTGCAAACCGACACTTTAGTGGTAGTTACAATTCTTGATACGAACGATCTCAACCCTTTGTTTTATCCGACTGAATACAATGTAACGGTGTTTGAGGACACACCCATTCATCAAAGCATCTTAAAAGTAGTAGCAGAAGACGCCGATTTAGGAAGAAACGGAGAAATTTATTACAGTTTCTTAGAAGATACGGACCAATTCGCGATCCACCCAATAACGGGTGTTATTTCGTTGAGCAGACCATTGAGGTATAATGAGGGACTTTTTCATGATTTAACCGTTCAAGCGCAAGATCGCGGAGCTATTCATCGAACCAGCGCACTTTCTAGAGCCAAAGTCAAGGTTACAGTAAAACAAGTAAACTTTTTAAAACCGGAAATTCGCGTGAGACGACATCCACAGATTGTAGAAAATTCCAACGCCGATATTTACGCCATCGTTAACGTAGTTGATAAGGATACAGGTATTCACGGACAAATAAAAAGTTTGGAAATAGTAGATGGGGATCCGGATGGCCATTTCAGAATTAGACCAACATTCCAAAAAGGGGAGTACAATATCGAGGTATTAAAACTTTTGGATAGGGAGAAAACCCCTCAGGGTTATAATTTACAATTAAGAGCTGTTGACAGAGGAATCCCACCTAAAGAAAGTTATAAATCTGTCCCCGTACAATTATCAGATTTAAACGATAACGCGCCTGTATTTAACAAAGAAATTTATGAGGTGAAAGTACCAGAAACAGCACCCGTAAACACCCCTTTGATAAGACTGAAGGTTTCCGACGCCGACGAAGGTAAAAATGCTCAAGTTTTCTTGGAGATAGTTGGTGGAAATGAAGGAGGAGAGTTCCATATTAACGCCGAAACGGGAATGTTATATACAGCCGTTCCATTAGACGCCGAAACAAAATCGCTTTATAGTTTAACAGTTTCTGCCATCGATCAAGGAAATGTCGCAACCAGAAAGCAATCTTCCGCTAAAATTAAGATATACGTCGAAGACACTAACGACAACGACCCTATTTTCGATAAATCAGAATTAACCGTGTGGATTGACGAAAATATGCCACCCGGAAGCTCAGTTACGACCGTAAGAGCTAAAGATAAAGACCGTGGGGAAAACGCTTATATCTCCTACTTAATTGCAAACTTGGTAAAAGTTCCTTTCGAAGTAGATCATTTTTCAGGAGTTGTAAAAACAACTCAACTCTTAGATTACGAAAGTATGAGACGAGAGTATGTGTTAAGAGTGCGAGCTTCCGATTGGGGACTACCTTATAGAAGACAAACAGAAATGCAACTCACCGTAAAAGTTAAAGACATCAACGATAATCGTCCTCAATTTGAAAAAATCGATTGTACCGGCCACGTGCCGAGATACGCGCCAATCGGTTCAGAAATTATCACTTTATCCGCGATAGATTTCGATTCGGGCAACATCATAAGTTATAGAATAGTTTCGGGAAATGAAGACAACTGTTTTACTATGGATCAAACTTCAGGAACGATTTCCGTTTCTTGCGATCTCGGCGATATTCGAGTTCAAGAAAGAGAATTAAATGTCACGGCAACTGACGGACAACACTTCGCTGACATCGCAAGAGTTCATTTTAAATTGGTTAATACAAAGCGAAGTTTAGCAACTGGGAATTACGACGAAGCCGGGGTTTTTGAATGTAGAGATACGGGAGTTGCGAGACGTTTAACCGAAATATTATCAGCAGCTGAAAACAATAATAAACCACCAGATCAAGAAGAATTTGCGATGATGCCTACACGTTATGGACAGAACGTACACTCTCCGGAATTCGTTGATTTCCCCATCGAAATTAAAGTGAACGAGTCTGTTGCTTTAGGGACAACATTAATAAAGTTAAAAGCTAGGGATAGGGATTTGGGGTACAACGGAAAGCTAATTTATGGAATTAGTGCCGGGGATGAGCACTCGGTGTTTTGTTTAGACATGGATGCAGGTGAACTTAAAGTGATAGGTTATTTGGATCGGGAAAGGGAATCTGAATATCTTTTAAACGTAAGCGTTTATGATTTGGGAAAACCGCAAAAATCTGCTTCGAGAATGTTACCGATTACAGTATTAGATATCAACGATAACGCCCCTAAATTTGAAAAATCAATCGCTAGTTTTAGAGTTACCGAAAATGCACTGAATGGAACCACTATTTTTAAAGCAAACGCAACTGATGCAGACTCCGGAGACAACGCTAAAATAACTTACTCATTAGTTACTGACACCAAGGATTTTGCAGTTGATAAAATAACAGGGGCTTTAACTGTTTCGAACAATTTGGATAGAGAAAGACAGGAAGTGTATGAATTACGTATTAGAGCTACAGATGGTGGTGGAAGAGGATCTGATTATCCTCCATTGTATTCCGAGGCTCTTATAAGAATAACAATAGACGACATCAACGATAATCCACCAAAATTCTCTCTTCCTGCTTATTCTGTTAAAATTCGCGAAGATATCCCGAAAGGAAGTGTTGTAGCCATCGTTTCAGCATCCGATCCAGATTTGGGCCTTGAAGGGGAAATAACCTATTCGCTTGAAGACACCGATAGCGATGGTACATTCAAAATCGACCGATTGTCCGGAACCATTAGAACGACGAAACTGTTGGACTTCGAGGAAAGACAGATGCACAGCTTGATGGTCATTGCCAAAGATAGAGGCAATCCGTCTTTATCTTCGGAAGTGGGTGTTACCGTGGACGTCGTCGACGTGAACGAGAACATGTACGCTCCGCAGTTCAGTGATTTTGTGCTAGAGGGTGCCGTGATGGAGAATAGACCGCCTGGGACCGTCGTCATGACTGTTAACGCGACGGATAACGACCCCCCTGGTGAAGATAGTAGAGTTGAATATTCGATTCGGGGAGGTGATGGTTTAGGAATATTCGTTATTGATAACAATGGTGAGTCGACAAATTTTATCATTAAAATGAACCGTCATAATTTTTATGCATCGAAAGGTTAAAAGCACATTTAATGCAGTAGCATTAAATTATAATATATTTATTGTCCCGTTTCCATTATAAATCTACAGCTTTCAGGCAATAATATAATGCAGTGAACGCTGTTTATGTAATTGCGTTATTGGGTTTGTGCAATATCCAATTTGGTATAACCATTCTCTCGTGTTTTAAAAGCTTTCTCTACATATTACGGTTTCGTTGATTGTTCACGGAGCTATTGCGGCGATTGGCTCAAAACTTATCGCGGTTATTAAGCTGGGAATTGTCTAAGAGTGGTCACGCGAGCTTTTGCACGCCAACTCGCTAATGCAGACATCGTGCAGATGTCTCTGCATTCGTTTAAACCCATCAGTGCAATTGAGAGTTATGCGAGACTTGATGTTTCTTCTACTGGGTGTGAAGTTTGTTTACTGCTAACGCTTTACTCCGTAATGGACCACACGCGGCAACCAATATCTCTTAGTTCTCTCAGCGAGATTTAATAAATTATTATAGAAAGCGATAAAGGTCAGGTTAATAACAATAAAAATCATTTGACCTTTTGAAAATATCGACTTTCTAGTGGGTTTATAGAAGATTTTACGTCTTTTTCTACACGAATATATGACGGTGCTTATATTAACTTGTCTTTTGGGTAAGTTGGAGTTATTGGCCGAAATAAGAAGGGGGCATTAAAGTGGAATTCACAACGGGGACGTAAACTCGTAGATATCTCACGACCCCTTGTGCGGCTGAGATAACTGGTGGAGTACATTTTTATTGTGCGATATATTTCATAACTTAGGGTTCCCCATAAAACTTAGAAGGTATAAATAATTTATTTTATTTTAGAAAATGTTAAGTTAATTAATTACGTTAAATTATTTATGGTTTAAATGAAAGTTTAAATTAATTGAAAACTTAATTAAAAAGAAATGATTTATAGCTTTAAGGAAATTTTTAAATGTCTCCTTGAGGTGATGCGTAACAATTGGTATGTTAATAATAAAAACATCATGAAAAATAATAGGAATTTCTAATGTGAAAATATAATAGAAAAATAATAGAATTTCAAGGACATTTATAAACAAATGTTTCGATATCTTTTTAACAAATCAACATATAAAATATTTTAAGATATGACGCAATACAGATCAAACGCAATATGATACTTTTTGATGGAAGTTTAGAAGTTAATAAGCATTTTGTAAATACATATACAGGATGTTAAACTAGATAGTAAGATAACAAGAATAGATAGTTGTAGTTCATGGTTAAGGTCACCAGACATAATAAAGCGGATTTTAACTATGTATTTAGTTACACAATTATAAATAATTTACAACACCATTTAGCATTCCATAGAAATTCCATAAAATTTATAGGAGCCTTGAAAGTGCCAATTGAATACAACATTGTTCTGAAGTTGTTCGGTTTCCCCCGAAACGTGTATAATAAACATCAATATCAGAGCGTTCACCTTGAATTGCCTTTTACAGTCCCATTTTATTAGCTACTCGAACAGGGCTTTTTATTGTGGCCATAAACCGGGGGCCGCGGAACACAAACCGACGCTAAAATAGTCGACTATTAATTTTTAACGTCGCTTCCGGTTTGAACTCGCATATTTGATGTCAATCGATTTTCAGAGTTCGCTAGGTTCGTAGTACGCTAACGGTCTTGTGGCTGCTTGTTTATCGCAAACTTTCTGAAGGTATTTCTGAAATATTTCATAATCTCATTTATTTCTTGCATGTTCACGTTATCTCACGTTTTATAATTTTTCCCTTTGAATGAAAGTTTCAACTCGCCGTAAATTTATTTCTGAAAAAATATATATATTGACCCGACTCTAATCAAACGTAGTATATGCTGTGGCTAAACTCAAATCTCAAACTCGTATTTAAAACGCCGTCTGAGTTTGTGGAGAACTGCAGGTAGCAAGGAAGTTGATTAAAAAGTTTGTTTATGAATAGCGACGGCAGCTGGTCTAGTTTCATTTCAGAGATTCGAGCCGACTTGAGGCATTTTTGTACATTTCCCGCCATCCGTTCCATGTTTATTAATGGAGAAGCTATAGAGGGAGGCTGCTGTGGTGGTGTAGGTAATAACGCAAATTTCCATACCCACTTGAAGGTTGCCGCTATTTTGAATAATGCAAATCGTTCGCGAAATTCAACGCTGGTTGCTCGAAAATCGGCCATCCATTTACCTTTTTATCGTTTGTCCAAGAGAATACAGTCAGAATTATTCCCCATAAATTAAACATGGATTATGTAATTTCCATCAAAACTCATCAACACAATTCTTTTATCAGCAGAATAAATTTGATGAAGTATTAAAGTTATATGTAGGTTGAGTGTTGTGGTGTGGTGGTATCGATCGACAAAACTCCGGGATAACCAGCTAATTACGACACGTAACTAGCTAAATATATAGTGTCGAGTTAACTGACCGGTTAATGGCACGTATTAATATCTGGTAGACTTTTATTAATATGTTTCCACAATAATGCTGAAGCCGAAATAATCCAAAGCGGACTAAATTCAATATTCATATCCCAGGTTTATGTTTATTAATTTTCATCATTCCCATATTAACGTACCCATCACTACAGGCAATGTGAAGTTTATAAAATAAAATTATTCGAATCATTCCATGCAATTTATTTTGGCTTTCTAATAAACATTTATATAGATTACAATTTTACAGCTGTTAGAATTGGATAATCCGTAAAGCTCTTTTGATAACATTTCTCTCGGTGAGAAATTCTCTTAAGAACCTCCTCTAGAGACGAAAAGGGAATCTTTATTCGTTCAAAGTCCGGACAGATGGCGGTCATCCTTCAAGTTTATGGGTACCATTTGTCGAGTCTATTAGCTATGCCCACGAATCCGGAGCGTTTTGGCACGCACCGAACTTGAATTTAAAGGGGAGGATTCTTATTAATATTTATTGACGCGCGATAAATAACGGAAGAAGGGTTTCGAGACGCGATCTTGACGCTCGATTCGCGATTTCATAAATAATTCAAAACCTGTAATCTTTTACATATCGTAGCCAGGAGAATTTTTACGTTATATGCGTGTCACGAGTTTTGTATGATTTTCAAAAACTTTCTCTCTCTTAGCGGGTACTACCACGTTCTTCGGGTGAATAATGCGTCCGCGAATCCGACCCCGTCATGTCGCTGAATATGAATCTCTTTATTTATATTCTTGAAACCCCCTCCTTTAGTCTACGTCGCGTCGGAAGGCAAAATGCGGAATTGCTCTTGTTGAATCTTTATTAAAATCCTCTGGAGTAAATAAAGAGAGGAATTCGAGGAGGAGTACCCCTGGGGAAACGCTTTTCTTACCATCCAAGACACATTACGCCCGATTTACCTTCTCAACGTTGGGTTCATAATACCCAGACGAAGCCAAACAGAAACTACGCAATCAACACCGTCGTTCGAAACATATACAGGATCTGGAAGCATTTGCACAAAAGGGTCTCGAGTATTATCCCTAAACTTCTCGGTGCACGCAACAGCTCCCTGACGACCTTCAGGCGAAACCGGAGTTTACATCAACGCGGATTAAAGCTACACCCTGCAACTGATATCTGAATCACGTTACCAATTCACCCTCAAAGCGTTTTCAAACAAAATCGAACACAACCATGTGTTATTGTGTACTGCCAATTCTCTAATTTGTAGTTAATTGTAATTAAATCCAACGTATAAAGTAGTAAACAAAACAAAGTTGGTCTTTTCATTATCATGAATGAACTCTTTCGATTTGATTATAAACTCACTTAGTGAGATAACTCCCAGGTCAGGGTATTGAACTTGTTATTGCTATTTATCGATGATATATTGACCTGCTTGCATCGATTCTTTAATTAAAAATATTTTTAAGCAGTTTAACCTTTGTTACTGAAACTTGACTTATCGGTTTTCTTTTTAACCAAGTCAATGGAAATACGATCCCATGTGAAAATATCGCCTTTCAGATTGTAATCTGCACTGATAAGGTAAGGTGCACTGGATTTACCCAACAGAGGGCGGTAGATAGGGCAGCCACCTAAAAACCGATTAAGTTTCGTCGAAGCCAAAACATATCGTATAAGCCCAACGTTATTAGGTCCTTGGACGATAACGTTGGAATTACAGAACATCAACACCTAGTAGGGTCCTATCCAAACCGCCACTTTACGTAATTCTACCCTAATCGCATTAGTCAGTACGATAGATTTGGCAACTTGCGGAACGCACAAGCTGCTGACCTCTGGTGTTGGTTGGGTCCTCGAAAGGCTTGGGCTATTGTGCTGTCGGCCCATTATTTTCTACGAGGAACCCGCCCTCAGGCATGCCGTAATGCAAAATCGCGCCGACCGTTAATGCGCCTTTCAATGTGAAGGCGCAAAAGGGTCGAGAATGGAAGAGGGCATTTAACAACGGGCGCTGGATTATGCGAGTTTAGGCGTAATCGCATTTTTACGAGTCTGCGTCGTAAATCCGCACGGAATTAAATGTACCGCTTCTCAGAAACCGCAAATTGCACGCGACGGATTAAGGCCGCGCTTAATACTTTTATAATTGAAAATTTTTCGTCTTCGGATTACATCTTTGCGTGTTCGCGACAAGAAAGCGAGAATCGTAAGAAAAGTAGAAATCACTTTTTACTTTTTAACTTGGACACGATGGTTGAGAGTGATAAAATGGATCATCGCCAATTTGAATCATCGATCGATAGTTCTAGTCCAATTGCCGGCAATTTCCGTCCACTTGTGGCTGAGCACGACGATCAACGCGCGCAAATTTGAACAGGCGATGCATTCTTGGTACCGAGCACTCATTAAAAATTGCTGAGAGCGCCAGTACCCTCTATTGACACTCTCTACGACCCTGCCACGCCCGCAGAATTTATAAGCAGGGACGACGACGTTTTACCTCCTTTATCGAGCCGGACGCCTTC